GTGTCACAAGATACAATAAGACAAATTATAAAATTAGTTGACCCTGTAGGTGTGGGAATAAGAAGAGCACGACGCCTAAGAAGGCGTCAATACAACTGTCGGGGGCCAAATGCTCTTTGGCACCTGGATGGCTATGACAAATTAAAGCCCTATGGGATTGGCATCAATGGCTGTGTTGATGGCTTTAGCCGGTATGTGTTGTGGGCGGAAGCCTATACCACAAACAGTGACCCTAAGGTGCTTGCAAGTTATTTTATAAAAACAGTTTCACGCGTCGGTGGGTGTCCAGAGAGGATCCGTGCAGACAGGGGCACAGAAAATGTTTGTGTCGAACAGATGCAGATGTTTTTGCGTAGAAACCACTCAGACAATTTTGCTGCGGAGAAAAGTTTCCTTTACGGAAGAAGTACAGCCAATCAGCGTATTGAAGGGTGGTGGTCAACCCTTCGCAAACAGAGCGCACAGTTTTGGATTAATTTATTTCAAACTCTTCAGGATGATGGCCACTTTTCAGGAGATTTTCTGGATAAAAGTCTGATCCGGTTCTGCTTTCTTAATCTTGTGCAGGTAGAATAATTTTTCTGGACAGAAATTTTCTTTTTGGACGAATGGTGAAAATATAATACTTAACTATGCTTTGTGTTCAGGATGAGCTGGATGAAGTTGTGAACACATGGAACGCACACAAAATAAGACCAAGATTGCACCATGATACAGCTTCAGGTCGACCAGTCGTCATGTATTCATTCCCTGCGATGCACAGTGCCGAGGATCAATTAAAACCTGTTGGAACGGAAGAGATCACTGCATGTATGGAAGAGTGCACTCCAAAAGGCAATTTTCCTTGTGATGAAACTGTATTTGAACTGTGTTGTTTGCTTATGGAGGAAAATGAATGGCACGCGCCATCAGATCCATTGGATGCAAGTGACTTGTATGTTAAGTTGAGAGAGGAATTACTGAAGTCTATTTGACATGTGTACTGATGCAATTTTGGGAAAATGAAGCTTCAAATTTGCTCCATAAACCAGTTGTTGTTTTTTGACTCCTCTAGATTGCACTCTTTTCAGCAGTGGGCTGGAAGTACACAGACTTGCCCTTTCTGAAACCTTTATTTTAAACAACAGTGCCATAGCTCCAGCATGCCCTGTGACCCTGGAGGATAAGTGGATCAAAAGTGGATGGATGTCTTATTGTTAATATTGATAGAAAACATCTCCACACTTTTTTTGATCCGCTTTATCCTCAAGGGTCACGAGGTATGCTGTGCAGCCTATCCCGGCAGTTGTTGGACACACAGACGAACAATCATCTGCCCTCACAATCACGGACAATTTGGAGTGTTCCATTAACCTGCCACGCATGTTTTTGGAATGTGGGAGGATGCGGAGTAGCCGGAGTCTCCACACAGGAAGGCCGGAACCGGATTCAAATCCTGCACCTCTGCACTGTGAGGCCGACGTGCCTCACAGTCATTAGGAAATATCTGTAAAATGTTAAACCATTCACCGTTGCACACAAGGATATTAACTGTCAACATTCATGTGTAGACAGAAAAACAGTGAATGAAGAGTAAGTTTATTGAACACAATAAATTCTTACTTTTAATAATAGAAGCATGGACCTAAATAATACAGCATAGCTGTTGAAACAACCATCCAATGGTTATGTATAACTTCTTAGGCCTTTTTGAAAATAAAACCCCAGAACTGTATAATACTGTAATATAACACCAAATCCAAGTTATTTCTACGTACAGTAACTATAAAAACAGCAAACAATGCAACGTTTGTTTCTACAAACTTATTGTAAACAGTGAACAATGTAATGTACCCAAGCCATGTAGTGCTGATGCAACCTACGATGGCTTATTAACATAGTTACAGGTATGAAAAAGCTAAACAATGTCCATCACCCAGACATTGCTTTCAAGAACAGCATTGAATTCCGATCGGAAATCTGGAAAATTTTCATAGCTGTCAGCAATATGCAGAACCTTTCCACATGTGTGCCCCACCGGCCTTCTACTAAACTCAGTCATTTCCTGGAACTCCACAAGAATGGCGTTGGTTACAATAAGATCAGATCCAGTGCAAAACCGGAGAAACTTCTGAAGCTTGAATTCATCCAACTCTCTGATGAACCTTTTCAGATGATTTATCACTTCCTTCTGCTTTGGGGTTAAATCAGTTGCAAATTTCAGCAGTTGGCAGACTTTTTTTGAGGTAGGTTGCAAGTCCGAGCACAACTTGTTCAGTGCTTCAAGACTGATGGAGACACGGTGAAGAGTAACCTCCCTCCAACAGTCAATCACAAACATGGGCTTTTGGATAAGCTCTTTGTGTGCTATTTCCTGCAGTATTGTGGGAAAGGTTTCAGCAGAGATTCTTTTTCTACACCCGTAGCTGTCAAGAACTTCCACAAGATTATCTCGGTCCACTTCTGAAAAGTCCTTCATGGCTTTCATCAAAACTTCACGCTCTTGGCTACTCACAAACTGCAGAAAACGGGCTTTTAGATCACTATAGACACAGTTGAAAAGCACCTGCTCGAGGAAAGGAAACGCAAGTTTGTTCGGGAAGCAGCAACAATTTTGGTATCCCTTTTAAAGAATTCTCCCAACTGCTTTCCACATTTCTGCAGGAAAATCATGGCGAATGAATGGTACTTTAATTGGTGTACCAAGGGTGCATCGGTCATAGAATTCCTGCCAGAAGCAGCTGAGAACATCTCTCAGCACTCCAGATCCAACACCTGCTTCTTCTGTATTATCTGGGAGTATGAGTTTCACATTGAGTGATTTGTTCAAGATTGCATTTTCAGAGAATGCTATGATCATATCATTCAATGTGTCAGTGTAGTGGACAGTTATTGTCATCACATCTTGTGGATCAGGTGGACCATCATAGATAAGTGTGATGTCTGCATCTCCCTCTGTGTTGTACGTGGGGCCAAAAGTAATTTCTGAATCAACAGAAATGTCGAATGCCGTGTAGATTTCATTTGAATCGACAAAGACCTCTTCAATTTCAGAGTTGTTGTCACTGGCGTTGTGTGACAAAACCAAGACTTCTTTGGACGCTGTGCTGCCATCGTGGCGGTCGTCCTTTGGCTTTGTTGCAATGTAAAAGCGCAACAACGTGAGCTTTGCAGCCTCATACATATTGCCGATGGACTGGCAGGTTTCATCAGTGAGGAGGTTTTGTTTGAAATCCCACACCTCAAACTGAAAGCCCAATTCAGATCCTTTTGGAGAAATCCCATTGGGGAAAAATAGTTTCTTTCCTTCCTTGAGAATGTCTTTCAACCCAGATTCTGTGGACATTTGAAGTTTTCTGGTACCCCCTCCCTGCTTCTCCCTCACCTGTTTGGTTATTTTTCCATCACTGTGTATCCATCCGATTGCAACATTTCTGGTTGTTTTCTGCCTCTTCTTTGTCTGTCTTGCTTGTTGTGTCTTTGAGGAAGTGTCTTCTTTCCCGCTTTCTTTCCTGATTTTCATTTTTTCACGTAATTTTTCCAAAAGTCCATTTTTCTTTTGGGATGGGAGCTGTTGAGTCTTGCAAAAATTGAAGAGTGCTATACGGTCTCCATAGCACGGGACATAATTGGCAAGGGTGGCATCGTCCATCAGTGCTATGACATCACTGTCAATCTGCATAAGAACAAGACAAATCGAAAAAATATACACTCAGTCACCTGAACACATACTCGCTTAATTTTAAAGTATGAAGCACAAATGTAATACTAATCTCTACAATTGTAAACCAAATACACAGGCAAACATGTTGCAACTTTTCAATGTTGAAAACCGTTAAGGATGTACGAAGATACATTAATGCTTGAAAATTACTCTAACCTATTTGTATTAGAATATGCAACTATGATAATAAGGTCCCTATTCAGACAGCAGTTCAACTATGATAATAAAGTCCCTATTCAGAAAGCAGTTCATCAATTGTTGACTTCATTTATGCGTGCGTGTGCACATACTTAAAATGATGTAGCCTTGAATTGCGGCACGTCACGACAGTACTGTAGTTGCCACGACACGACCACAGGTGTGTTCAGTTCACGGTAATTAGGCTGCAACGATGCTCCAGCCGGCCACTGTCATCCACACAAAGGGGTCGATGTCGAGAGTGTTGTTTTTAACAACGTTATGTGGCGTCACAGGGACGTACCCATTTAAATTGGTTAGGTTCTACTTATTCACGAATGTAAACTGGGTGCATCCATTCATGACATTCGGACTAGCAACGGAGCTACAAGCTCCATGGAGCACGTTAACTATGGACACGATAGCCACCAAATGAAACAAACACGACGCATTGTTTAGTAAACAGTGTTTACTCACCCTCTGCTCCTCCAAAAGTGAAAG